AAGAGAACAACGTCAATGAAAAAGAGAACTGGCAACAGATTATCTAGTTAAAGCTCAAGTTCTTCTGCCCAGAGATAGTGCCAAAACTTTCCCAGAACAACTACTACTGCTTGTGCCGAAACAGTGAACGACTGACATTTAAGTCATGTCAGTGAGAAAGATGTCGCTTCTCTGATCACCAAAAACCTTTAAATGAAGAGGCACACTTAATTCAGAGTGAGCTTACCAATAAGTATAAACATACTTATATGTATAAACACAAGACAAGACTTCCTCTTGAGCTAAAGCTTGGACATTCTTGCCTGCACTGTTCATAACAGCAGGACAGAGAAATCATTAATTCATAATGAAATATTCTACTCAGCAATCTTTGGTAATCTTGTTTGGCATAAAGTCGAAACCTAATGCCAATGGTCATTTATGACACAGTGAACTACACCAGGTGAGACAAGCAGCAGCTCTGGCTGCCCAGAGAGGTAGAAAGTACCAGGGAGGATGGAGATATGATAGTTAAGCAAGAATAAGCATAAGTCTACAACACAGCCAAGGCACTCAACAGGAAGATCTCTCATTTGGGCACCATTATCCCATTAACTGCAGAAGTCCTTATTCTCGGGCACTGTGTTTGGGATTTGAGCGTGTCTTTCTGCTCTGACCTCTTTTCTAGGTGCATATACCCTCTTTACTTTTTTGGCTTTGCTAAGATCACTTGGTGACCTAGGAGGATGGCTTGGAGAGAAGCAAGCAAAAGCCAACAGCACAGACTGACCACTTAAGCTTGTACTTACCACTTTAGCCTAAATTATCTTTAGACTAATGACCTGCTCAAGGTTAGACATGGCAAAACTTCAAGTAATCGTTTAGGTTTTTTTAATATTAGAGGTTGTGGTTACATATGATTCTTACAAAAGACTGCAGCTACTGTATCTGTGCATCTTAGCCTATGGCTTTATTGAAGGTGGCCTGTACTCAGAAATGAACAAAGAATTTTGCATCGGGTGTTCTGTGGCCATATACTGCTGTCCCTGGTCATTCATTGGTTCAGTCTGCACTAGTTCTCAAGCTAAGACAGACTCAGAATGACGCAACAGTACCAGCTATGTCAGAAACATTCTATAACACATAAAAGTAAAAATGTACAGCCACATAAAGGAACTGATCAGTTATGTTAACAACTTCATCACTATGCCAAGACTGACAGTTTGTAATAAAAAGCCATACAGCTACTGTAATGTTAAAATTAAAAAAAAACCAAAAACGAAAACCACAGAAAGAACTTAGAAAGTAAATGACTACTTACTTTATTAGAGCTCCCAGCTTTAATTCCAACAGGTATTTTGCTCTAAAACCAAAAAACAAATCACAGATTTTACATTGTTCATAGAAATGATTAAGCTTGATTAAAATCTACATACTAAATGTCATTCCTACAGAGGTCAAAGCAAACCTGTTTTTAAATAATTAACTCGGTCCTTTATTTTCTCAACATGTTATATCTGAAACGGTGCTAGAGCTTAGAAGAGACTTATTCTTAATTTGTTTTATTGGTAAAATGACTAAGACCTTAAAATACTTTCGTTGTATTTCTGCTTTTGAAATGGAAAATAATTTTATTGTCACTCTTTTATTTAAATTTAAGTTTTCATTAGTAAATATTAGTATAGTATTAGTCACTGCAAATAAGCAAACCTTTTAACCAACTTTTTCCTATTTTATATTATTTGATCCATACCTCAGGACAAGGCTCTACATGACAATCTTTGATAGAACAATGGCCATCATCAGCCCAAAATGGGCATGGTCTCTTCAGGTTCACCTAAATATAAAACAAAACCAAAAGTTTACAATCAACACTCACCTAAGGCAACTTTAAAAGTAAGAGGTCTCAGTAAAACCTTTCAAAATAAAGGAGAGTATACAAGGGAAAAGGGTTAAATTTAGTACTTTAAGCCTATGTGGCTTTGTTGGTTGGATTCTTTTAACCACTTTGCCTCTGAGTATATAAGCTAAAGCTTGATGCAGTGGAATTGTTAGTGATAATGGCCTCCAGTGGACACATAGTATATTAAAGCACAATTTAAATCTCTCACTACTAACACAAAGCAGTAAATAAACTACTAAAAAGACGGCAAACCAGACATATGCAGCTCTTAAATGGTTGTACTTACAATTAGTTGTATTTGTAATATTCTGATCAAGAGAATACATTTGATGGAGGACAGACTAGTACACAAGTATACTGATTCAAATAAGTGCTTGGATAATTTCAGATTTCAAGCAACAAAAATAGGCAATCATCACTGCACATCATAGCTAGTCAAGGAAGAATGAGTATCATAATGGCCTCAAATTAGAGAGCTGATACAGTACAAATATAAATAATGAAGAGAAACCACTTCAGAAACATTACCAGCAAATCCTGTGATGATTAGTGCTCCTATTTGTCATCAAATGACACAATAAAGGCAGGGAATACCACATATATTAGTATCTAATACATGGCAAGAGATTCAAACACTTTACTACATTTCACTTGGATTGTCAATGTCAAAGTCAGTGGGGAAAAAAAAAAAAGAAATCACAGCTCTCCTTTACATTAGCCTTATACATACTAACAAACAGCAGTGATAAAAAACACTTTGACCTCACTGCTCCTAAACTGAAGACTACAGACTACAGGTTTTCCTGCACGACCAAACAGAAACACTGCAGAAGTACACCATCTTTGAAATCTAACACTACAAATAAAATACAAAGCATTTATCCTCAGTAGTAACCATTATTTTCCAGTTAAAAAGTCAGTTTTGAAACTTTTAAAGTAATTAAAAAAAAACCCAACAAAAATTACTTCTATTCTTCTACTTTGTTTTCCTTTACCACAGCTCGTACTAATTTTCTTCAGCTGATAAATACTATTCATGAAGATATTCAACTGAAGTCACTATTTATAAGCAACAAACTACAACTTGAATGATTTGATGTATCACTTCTTGTTTTAAACTGTTGAAGACACTGGATTTGATTCTGTAGTCAGACACAGCAAGAATTCTATAAAACACACTGCAAAATTAAGACCCACACCCCAAGGATGGCATCAGGTCCTAGAGCAGTTTCAATACAAAAATTTAAGAATTATAAATGTGCTTATAAAAATTATTTAAATCAATAAATCTTAAGTCAGAAAACTAATCCTTATGCTAGCTTATGGAAAAAAAAAATACATACAAGCTGTACAATAAATTAATAGTCACACACTATAAAGAACAGTATTCTTGCTACACCTAGCATGTTAAAAGATTGAGACTAAACGTGTCATGAATTTAGTATTCAGAAAAACATGTTCTCCCCTTATATGTAGGAGCATTTTTCTAATTCATGTAATTTCTATCTTATACTTTCACTTTACATAAGGAGAAACAGACAGGAAACAAAGCTTAAACATCTAGTACAATAGTGCCAGAGCAGCTCCTTAGGCAAAGAATTGGCAACTGAACTCTAAATCCCATGCTCTGATGAACTTGGAGTGCACTGCATGTGGTAGTTGAAGGGTTCCTGCTATGATAAAAGAAACACACTACTCAATCTTTTAATTTAGAGAAAAACTGAAATCACTGAGCCATCTTGAACAATTATTCCATTAAAAAAATCCTTTACGCTTTGAACACATATAACTGGCAGAGTACATTTATACAGGATCAGTGATTCGCTTTAAGTAGACTGTTTCTGAGGGGGAATACAATAATAGAAACCCACTGGCTACATTCGCTGAATTTTTTTGCCCAGCATTATACATATTATACATAATATACTAAGCATAAGGAAAACTAGATCAATATGCCTCTGATACAAAGCAGGCACAATATGAAGAATCTGAGATTAATTATAGCCAGATTTTATTCTCTGTCCAGTCTATTATCTTAATTTTGACAGCTAAGAAAAACCAAAACTATGTACTAGAAATGAAGAAACAACCTTTAATGCTTGAAGGATAAATTGTTCTTTGGGTTCTACCTACCCAAACTAAAGCAAAACAAAAAGAAGTCCCGCTTCAAATGTTCTATCAATACCACAAAAGATCCCCAAAGAGTAAAACTTACTGTTTGACTTGCTCAGCTGCCCTTTATTATACTGAATTCCTCTACAAAAGCTTTCAGCTAGTAAGTTCTTTCTGTAATTTCAAAATACATACACAAAGTGAACTGCTATATAACATCTGAAGGAAAGACTGTTTTCCAGGTTTCCATTTTGATGTACTCATTCAGCATGACTAGGAATTATAAATTCAGCTTTAAAATGTTAAAGAGATTCCTTGGTTAAAAAAACCTAACAAGACATTAAGCAGATGGTACGACTTCTTAGGAGTGATGACAACTGTCTTCTAGTTACAGTTCAAGCCATGCTAGCACCAGATACATTAAAAGCAGAGATTTCAGGTTTCCTCTATTGAATCCACAAACACCATTCCTAGAAAAAACATGTTAAATGATCACTCATCTTTCTAAATAAAGCACGAAAATGTGTTACATTTTACATCACCTTCACAATAAGAGCTATGATACAAAACATGTCCCTCACACTGATTTCTACCAAAAAAAAGACCAGCTAACACAGACTACAACCTTCTTCAAAGTAAACTCTAACAATAAAAAATGCTAACACGCTTAGGAAGATACAAGTAACTAGGCAGTCACTGTTCTTACACAGAGGAACACTATGAATAAAAGAATACCGCTGCCTAAACTGCAGATTAATTCAGAAATAACACCGGCAAATCAAGATATACCAGTTCCAGAATGATTCAACAGCACTAAAAACCAGCACACACAGACACACTTGTGAGACAAATTGAAGTTGTATGGCACTTGCACTTCAATCAATACCAATCATGCACTGACTACATAGAACACCCTTCTACTTTCTTCAGGGCATGAAGTATTAGATTTCATTACTATCATTTAAAGCATTATTAAATACTTGTCACAAATTAAAAGCTAGATTCCTTATCACAAGGCTTCCATAGTTTGTGTGGTTTGATGTATAAAACTATACAGAGAAAATTTCTTTTTATTCCTTTATTTCTTTCATTGAGAAGTGTTCCACTAACTATCTAGAAACCACCTAGCACAATTTCAGCAAGACTTTAAAGAGAAAGTTTTCTTTGGCCTTTAAATAAAAACTAGCTAGTTCATTCAGTATTATACATTAAAGTTTGAGTTCTTTTATGGCAGTTGAACTAGCAACACAATGGGATTACTGTGACTGTAGTTACAAAAGTTCACGATCCAAATTCCTATTACAAATTAAATTACTTCAAAGAAGAAGCATTTTCACTCCCAAAACAAGTATAACCCCCCTATGCTTATTCAACATTTAGCTACACTGTAGTTGACCTAGATGATTGTTGCTTATCCTCACAATTTCCACATCCATCTATGCGCTTAATAGCACCTCCATAATTCTGTGCAGGGACATCATAAGATGCTGTTGCTTATTCAGAAGGGAAAGGGTGAAAAACGTTCTGACTTAATCAGTTTGCTTGTTCAACACAAATTCTTCCCTGTCACTAACGGAAGTACTAAATAATACGTAATGCTGGGTGGGCTGCACACTGGCCTTTGTCATTGCCCGTCTATTAGGAAGAACAGTATGAAAGATAAGGTAGGATTACAACACATCATTAAAGTATGATCCGCAGAACTGCTGTTGAAATGAAGATTAGCTCTAAATTTGCAGGATGAAATTACTGTTGTATAAAACCGTGTATACCTGTCGCTCCTCTTCTTCAAATACTTTGGTTTGTATCTCTGTGTCGCCTCTGAAGAATCTAATTACCACTACTGTGATGTTGCACATATCTTGTTTCTCCTGAAGAGTGAGGTTAGAACTGTATCAAGTAGCAGGAGGAGATTCAGGGTGAAGTTACACATTTCTGCCTGCTCAGCCTAGAAAGGGAAGGTTCTAATGCTTTTTTCTCCTTCCTCATTCATAACTGCATCTTGCCTGAGTTTAATACTTGTCTGATTCCAGATCAGCTAGATAACTTGCTACATCCTGGAAAAAAGAAACAACAAACCAACAAAAAAAAACCCAAAACAAAACAAAAAAACCCAACCAACCAACCAAACAAACAAACAAAAAAAACCAAAAAAAACCCCAAACCCCAAAGATCCAAACTAAAAATCTACCAGGTTAAAAACAGATGCATTGGCTTAACAGACAGTCAGACAAGCCCAAGAACTAGAAGTAGGGACAGGCTAAAAAGGCAGGATGATGAGCCCTAAAGGAGTGGAACCTCCTTTTTCCAGTGGCAGACAACTGTCTGATTAGCTCAGTCAAAATGCTACCTCATTTCAAGTTAAGCATACCTGAAAACAGAACTACCAGGCTTCAAATTGTTATTTTGCTCATCAGATTCTAATATAGAGAAAAAAAATGTTTTAAGTCATAAAAAAGTGATATTACATACTACTTGAAAGTTGAATATTTTTACTGATTTTTCAAAGGAGTAACAGTTCTCTAGATAACAAACACTAAAATCAAAACTCAGACAGCAACTTATAAGACAAGAAATCATTGCAATATTTCAAATTATGCACATTTCTTAGGAGACAAGTACTGCATGCTGTCAGAAAGTTGCTAATATATGCTAATTCTTTTCTAGATGCAGCAGTACAAAGATACTAGCTTTAAAATTACCACTTATCAGTTAAATGAAAGCAGTCATGATTTACTGTCACTGATTCCAGGATTAACACAGCAAACATGACTTATTACCAACATAACTGACAGGGACTGAAAATCTGCTACAACCAAATTAAAGAGCTGTGGGCTTCTGAAAGACAACTTAATACAGATGAGTTGATATGTAATCCTTCCTATATTTTCTGGATTTTATTTAGGTTATTCAGGAAAATACCATTCTAATTGTACCTTGTAATATCTGAAGTAATCACGTTCTTGCAGTTTCTGTATTTTGGGGAAGATCTTGAAAGTATTGAAGTCATCGATGCTTTCTATGTCACATAAACAATCATCTAGGACTCCTGTGAGCTATTAAAAAATACATAAAAATTTATTTTTAGTCAAGAAGTGCAATACTAACTACAGAAAAATCCTCTAAAGAAAAAAAAAACTGGCAATCAAAAGAAATACTAGTGAAATGCAGTTCCATAGCAAATAATTTATTTCTCGTCATTAAAATACTCTACAACATACCTTACACACTCAGAATTAGAAAATAACAGACCTCAGCACTTTTTTTGAGCTTAAGTCCACCTCCAAATGCAACACTGAATCAATGTTAGCCAGATTACCACTTTCAGTGCTGAAATTTCTTGACAGATTCAGCATATAGAACTTTCTGCAGAATGAGCAAGATTTTCCAAACTACAAACACACGGTTTATTGGAACATCAGAGTAGCATACCAAGTATTCTCCTACCAAATGCTCATTAGTTGAATTGCCTAAAAAAAAACCCAACCCACAATCATGCATTGTCATCTTATAATTCTCAAAGTATAAGAACACTCCAGCTAGTTTCTTCAGGGGCACAGGAGAAAGAGAAATGGGTACCTCTGTGCTCAAGAAGTTAGTAACTTCAATTAAATTCTACAAATAAATGCTACGAAAACCAGGTGCAGGCACCTATATTGTAAGGCTGTAAATCTACTGTGAAACTAAGTCTGAACTTTCCAGGACCCCTCCCTCTTCTTGTGCTAGGACAGCAAGCTGGTTCAAGGCACTGCACTAGCTTAAGACCACCTCTGTGAAAAGGAGTGCACACAAGTGCAGAAGTGCTACTGCCAGCACAGGAGAGGAAGGCAGGACTGTGCAAGCGGCAGAGAGGACAGGCCCAACTAACTTAGTAGACCAAGCTATGGCAACACTTTTGCTGAGACCCTGACAGTGAAATGCGGAAACACTGAAAGTGTGATTCTATGGACATTTGTATGATAAATTTCATTTAATCCAAACTAACTACTCCTAAGCATAGTTTCTTAAACAACTACAAACATGTTTGAAAGGCCTTTCAAATGTAAGTTTGAAGGCTTTAGACCATATTTAAGGGAATGGAACCAAACACCATTGTTAACTACTCCTATTCTTCAGCCAGCCAGGAAATTAATCAACCCACATGATGGCCTAGAAAGCATATAAACTAGGAAGGCCTACACATCTTATATCTTACAAAGGGCTTAGAAGACCTTCTCACAATTAAAAGGTTATGTGCAAAAGGAGATGAAAAATACTTTGTGGCTTTTTTTTCCTCCACAGATTTCACATAGATGAGATTATGAAATCATCTAATCTGTTTTATGCATGATAAATCACTCCACTACTTTACAGAACAGATACCCTTATGTAACCAAGCTTGATGTAAAAGAGTTACTAGAAACTGAATTGTACGCTTCTGCTCTTTTATGAAGCATAAAGGAGGCCTGGGAAATGGATTTCCCCCAACCCACTGTGAGAATAAAGAGGTGAGGGTATGGCAATAAAGCATTTAAGTAGAAAATTCACCTCATGTAGATCCTACTTTTCCTGAGGTACTAAATAGGCTGTCACAATTCTGCAGAGATATGGCAATGAAGTAAAACTTATTTAAGGGAAGTTACTTTACCCAAAGTCTTCTCTGCTGTTACGCTTGCCTTTGTTAATGTTACGTAACTTCAAACCTGGGCAAAGAGCTATGAAAGAGACTATGGGCAATTACAGGTTTTTCACAAAGCCAAGAAAGCTCACAGCCCACATGACTACCAACTTCAAAGTTAGAAGACAAAATTTGTTATTACTGATACTTACAGAAATAAAAACCCCATGCATTTTAATCCACAATGATCTTGTTAAAAATTTCAAATTTTCTTATCGGTCACACATAGGCAGAAATTAATTTTGCAGTCTTTACAGGTATCACCATACCACAAAACAGACAGCAGTACTTTTCATTATAATATAAAAAGGCAAAAAGATAATTCTGAACATTTTGCTCAAGTATTATTAAACTGTAAAAACAAGATAAACCTTATGTGAAGAGCAATAATTTATTAAGCTGAAAGCAGCAGGAAAGATCCGAGACATTTTCTTTGGACTCAGAAGACAAAGAGACTATTTTGATGACCACCTCATGAAGCTATCCACTGCTTACAAAAATATTTTTACCATCTATTCAAAACTGAAAATGCTTTTTTAGGGGAAAGTGCTCCAAACAAACATGCAGGAGTTACACTCAGTGTCAAATTCCTATGGAAAAATAAAAAGCTTCGGTCTTTTAATTCAACTAAGATGGCAAACTAACAGAGGTCACACCTTTGCCAGATGTCTCTGATAAAATCTCAATTCTAAGAACATCTTTCAAAATGCAGCATGGTTTACTTAGAACATTACAAAGTTTCAGAAATAAACACTTCCCCAAAACTAGAACCGTTCTAAGAAATTATTAAGAGAAAAATAAATCTAGTGTAACAAGACCGAGCAAACAAAATTCTCCATTTCTCACGACTTTTTCAGAACTGGAACAGTTAGCTCCTTGTATACATAAAATAGCAAAATCAATGTTTCCTTGGAAGGCATTTTCTAAAATTAAACTATGCTATATCTGTACCAAATCACGATTTATAAAATGGTTTGACAGCACATATGAAATGCCAATACTGCACATCAGCGGACTCAGTTCATAGCACACTAATACAACAGCAACACAGGCTTCAAGTACCCCAGTTAGAGGTTTTTTTATTAGTCCAGCTGTAATCTTCAGCGGTCTCACTTGAGTAATGATGAAACACTCTAAGAACATGCAGAAAAATGGTTTCACTTTTGTCAACGCTTGGATCTTCCAGTGAATTCTCTTTCAAACTGGACATATCAAAGTAAGAACAGTGTATTACACAGTTAAAATTACCTATTGCAAGACTTACTTTGCTATTCATATAATTGGTATTTTGCCTTTTTTTTTAAATTGAACTATACTAGTTAACTTAGTCCACAAATATAGAACCAAACTGTACTGTAAGTTATCACAACTTTTATTACAATGGCCAAGTATCAAGCTTTCTTTTCATCTGTTAATTACTTTGAACACTACGATAAACTCTAAAAGCATTAGCCTACTATAATTTGTGTTCAGGAAGTCATCTGACATTGAATAGCTGCTACTTCTTCTATATTTCCAATATGCTTATCAAAGTATTCCTATGTATTGTCAAACCTAGTTTAGTTCTTGTACAGATATCAGACCTGTACAGGAGATGTTAAACTTCTAACTTATCTTCTCCAAGATAAATCAACCTTTCAGAAGAAAAGGTCAACGTCCAACCTGCATCAATTTCTCCTTATGAAATCTGGAAAGAGAAATGTATTCAGCACTTCAACATTAAGAAAAAACAGAATAAATGCATATACTAACAAGCAGCCATACAAACAACCTTATTAGTGTTATCAGGTTGTTGTACTTTAATTGCTTCAACAATTAGAAGACCACCTGGGACACCTTGTTTTGTTCCTTAATGTTTTACTTTGCCATAGCTGCACAATGAAAGAAAAGCAATAGGTAACATGACTCCAAGAACTAATGGCTAGCTTATCTTTTCCCTGTACAAGTCAAACTCTGGGTATTTAAACTCTGAATACAATATGCTAACAATTTTATGAAATAGCAACAACCAATCTCTCTGCCAAGCGTTATAAGAATATCATGCCAGTTTGTTAATGGCTGATTTAAGAATCCCAATTCAATTAGCATTTAGTTATGCTAAAATAGCTACTAAAATAAGGTAATTTTAAACCTGAGAAAACCACAACTTATAACAAAAAAAAACCCTGCAATAAAAGCTATCTGTGCTAGACTACTCTAGTCACTGCTTTGGATGGTCACTTACAATATAGCATATTATACAAAGCAGAAATTTAGAAGATAGAAGAAAAAGAATAATCAGAAGACAAGCTTTGCTCCACGTGGACAGAGT